CTTTAGGCAGGGCAGAGTAGGCATACATATAAACTGTGTGTTGCTCTGTGTATGTAAATAAACACATAAATATGTAATAAATATTTCTCCAAGTTGCTGATTAAAGCATCTTGTCACAGGTACTCTCAATGATTAAATAAAATGCCACAATGAATTTGATTAATGTAACTAACAATAATAAATATTGTACTCAGTTCTAGAAGTGTTCTTTTGGCCTAAGTGTGAGATTTAGTTTTCTGTAGCAGTGGTCTTCAAACTTTATGATAACATACCTCCACCAATAACAGTGGACTAATATATACATTATAAAACATACACAAAATATAAAATGAGATGAGTTAAAGATAAAATAATCAACATTTTACTTATTAATTGTCAAAACCTTTTGTGCTCTCACTGGAAAAATAATAATAAATTTAGGGAGAGTGATGTTTTTATTTCATTCAGAAGATATTTGCTTAACATTTTGTGACAGGGAATGTTAAAGGTCTGATCCTACTTCCAGTTTACTTTGGTATTTGGTTTCATGATTGTGAGAGGTGAAAAAGATAACTCATTTTTATAGGTAGAATTGTGTCCCCAAAACTCGTATGTTGAAACCCTAACCCCCAGTGTGGCTGGATTTGTAAATAGGGCCTTTAAGGAGGTAATAAGATTTAAAAAGTTCAGAAGGGTAGAGTCCTCATCCAATAGGACTGCCCCTATAAGAAGAGGAAGACACCAAGGATGCAATCATACAGAAAAAAGGTGAGGACACAGTGAGGAGGTGGCCATCTGCAAGCAAAGAAGAGAGACCTCACCAGAAACCAACCCTGCCAGTATCTTGATCTTGCACTTCCAGCGTCTAGAACTATTAGAAAATGAATTGCTGTTGGATAAGCCACCCAGTTTGAAGTATTCTGAGTATAGCCCCAGGAGACTAATACACTCCAAATATACATAGATCCAGATGGAAGATGTGCATCAATGGCCCACTCACAAAATTATGACACTCATTTTTCAGTCCTGTAAACAAATCATGCAAAAGTTTTTGTCGAAATTTAGCTGGTAAATTCCCATCTGTTCTAGAAATAATTTGTTCTTCAAATTAATTGAAAGTTGTTACATTTTTAAACTTTCCACAAATGAGTAATTAAACTACTAAAACTATTAGTTGGACGAGTTTTAAACAGATTAGAAAATTTTGTTAAAGTTTTTGTCTAAGTTTACAACTTAAAATCTAACTAAAGAATCAAAACCAACAACTACATGAACAAGTGTTTAGACATTGTATAACATTATGTAATAAAATGCCAAGTTGTAAGTCTACATCATCAACTATTAACCTTGGAAAAGTACCCAAATTTTTCTGAGCTTCAGTTTCCTTCCTTGGAAAGTGGAAGCAATTTTAAAAAATACCTTTCAGTTTGTTGTGATAATTAAGTAAAATAAGACATGGCTCCTGTAGTTAGTACCTGGCGCATAATACCAACTGCAATTCAGATGCAAAGATCAATGAAATAATATGCAGGTCTGCTACATGCCTGGCACTTATGCAGGCCTGCTACATGCCTAGCACTTTCTATAAGACACTATATTTAAATTTCGCAACCCCTTGCAAGGCATTATTGCTGTCATTTGTCAGACGCAGAAATCTAGGTTCAGAGAGCTTAAGTAATTTGACAAAGTCACACAGCTAGTAAATGGTGGCAACAAGACTGAAAGCCAAGTTTGTTTGACCTCGAACCTCATGTGCTTTCCACTATGCCAAGTTATTGCCAGAAAAGGTGCTAGAAAAACCAATGAAATTTTACTTGGGTCCTGAAAAAAAGGACAGAATTTGAATAGACAAAAGGAGGAAGGAGGAAAGGAGACCATGACTAATTCTGAGAAGGTACAGTGTATGTGTCAGGGGTGAAGAGTATTGTGAGTTATTAGAGGACAGAAACAAAACCTGTACAACATAGGGCCCTTCAGTCCTAGCACAGAGACTGGGATGTGGTAGCTGGTGGGAGGATGTCTATTCCCTAATTCTCTTATGTCCATAACAAGGAAGTAGGAGTGCATTGTCTGACTGGTAAGCTTGAGGGAGGAACTAGGGATGTGTCCCTCTAACCCCTCAAGTTTGGGGAGCAGGCCTGCCCCAAGAAGCATGTGTTTTCTGCTTTTCCAGAAACTGTAAAACTTCAGTCAGTTTTATACAAGCAGATTTTCCAACTCTGCTTGTGACTGAGGGGGTATGTTCAATTCTGGGGTGAAGTACAAGCAGGTCCTTGTCCCCGCAGATCTAGAGTCACGGCCACCATTCTAGCTTTTACCAGGGACAAAGCTGATGTTTTGCTCTCCACCACTCTGACTCCTGCAGCTATCTCAATGGATTCTGAACTTCTGCACGGCAATGAGGGTGTTATAGGAAGCCCCCTAAGACTGCAACAGTAGACACTCAACAAACCATGGTAAATGAGTGAATATGACAAGTTCAGAGGACAATGAGAAGATGGCCTGATCTGAGAAGAGGTTGTATGAGTAGTTTAAGTAAGGTTAGATGGATAACTTACAAGCAAAGCGTTTGAATTTGATGTGGGAAGAGAGTGCTGAAAGTTTCAGAGCAGGGGAAGAGCATGAGGAGGACAGTGTTTAAATCAGGTAGTGAGAATCTGGCAATGGGCTGCAGGGAAGACTGGGGGAGGAGAGCCTGGAGCTGAAGGGCAACCATAGATGGTTTCTAGAATTCCTGAGGGAAGATGAAGGTCTGGCTTAGGGAAGTGGAAATGTGAATGAGGGTGAAAGGCTGAACAACAGATCTCAAAGAGAAAACCGCCAGGATATGGTAACAACTGGGGTCTCAGTAGTGGAGATACCTTGTTGTTGGAGGTTTCCAGTGGAGATACATTTCCACTCTGAATGACACAGAGGAGCAGGCACAGGACCTGGTGGGAAGCTGGGCTCAGCTTTGGGCATGTTAAATCTGAGGTGTCAAGTGGATTTGTTCTTGGCACCAGGGACACGGGATGCACAGTAGGGAAAAAGCCACTGTTGGGAGCAGTCTGGGGAGTCAACACCGTGAAAGAGGCAGCACACATTTAAAGGGCTCTGGAAAGAAGTTGGTGGAGATGTGACGTGTGAACAGGGAGGGTACCTGGTACATGGGTACCAGGAAGGAGGGTAGGGACACAGGGAAGGGTCGGCGGAGGAGGGCAGGGGGATACCGGTCGCTCCTGGACTGGAGGGAAGGACGGGATGAGGCTGCCGGCAAACGCTGGAATCACGCTCTTCTCAGCAGAGGAGGACGGCCTCCACCTTTCCTGCCCCCCTGTCCCCCGAAAATCCACAGTTGAACCCAAAGCAGCTTTCCTCATGCTGACCGGTGTTCCGGGCCCTGCGCCCCCTTCCTCGCGCCCTGGCGACAGTGACGCCCTGGACCTACTGTACGGGTCCCTCTACCTCCGGCCTTCTCTCTATCAGCTGTAGGGGGCGGCTCCGGCTCCCCAGGCCGCAGGGCCTCTTCCCCTAGTGTCCTGCTCCAGTCTGGACCGGGGGTACCCCCA